TCAGTAAAAGCTGAAGGATGAGATAAGACAGGAGGCAGTTAGTACCTGCTGACGCTTCAGGATTACATTCTCATGTAACAGAGTGAGAAGACTGAATGAGTAATGTTCACCTCTTAAACCATGTAGAAACTAGTATTACTTATTGATCTGTGTTCCAGTAGCACCTCTTTGTGGCAGACACTTGAGAAAAATGTAAAGCAACTAACACCTCCCAACCCTCGTATCTCCCCAGACAAGAATTAAAATAAGTAATAGACACTGAACTAAATAGCTAAGCACTCACCCAATGTGTACCATAGCAAGAGACAGCTCTTGTAAACAAAACTTGTTAATGAAGAATCATAAAGGCTACTTTGTGATCTACTTACCATACATGAGGAGGAAAATGAAGCCTTACAAGCTACTTCTCTTAAGCACTTTGGCATTTCAGTAATACAGCTGCATCATTAGAAATTAACTGACAGAAGGCGGCAGGCATATTTAATGTACTTACATGGGAAAAAGTTTGTGATTCTTCGACTCTCCGGATTTAAGAATGGATAATACAGACGTTTTAAAAGGTAAAACATCTAACATTCTGTTTTCAAGGCCAAAAAGCATGCCAACCTTCTACATTTACTCATTCTGCATGGATGCCAAGGACCAGATTCCAAGCCCACTGGAGCACACTGCAGAGCATCCTTTGACCTTACAATGGAGTTGATGTGATCAGATCCAAGAGTACTAACATACCCAAATTATGAAAAAAAAAAAAAACAACAAAAACAAACAGGTGAAAAATACAGGTCAAACTTTGTTAGAGGGCATTTGAAGTTATGGTCGTTTTCTAGAAATCAGTCTGGTTTGCAAAAATCATCAGTATGATCTGATGTTTTATGCATGAAACTAAAATTCCTTTTCAGGCTTTCATACTTTCAAACTGAAAGCCTTTTATGCACTTCAAAACAGGTATTTCAAGCCCATTCCTGAATTGTACTCATTTGTATAATTTGAAAAAAATATACATTTAAAATGAAAAATACAGTATAAATTCTATTGTAATGAACAAATGTTGACTAAAGCGATATTGACCGGATACATGCTGGATATTAGTAATACTTGCACAAGTAACTTCTTGCAACATTATCCATTATATAAGCTGATTTTATTTTCAGTGCTAAGACCTTGTAAAAATGTTCACTAACTTTTCAAAATCACATTTTTTTCTACATATACACCAATTTCTATTAAAAAAATGCATTTTAATTCAAACTACTAATATCCAAAATTTCATTCTCCAAGAGTCTTCAGTTACTTTATGTTTCTAAATATAGCATATAAGAGTACACAGAAATATGTATTCTAAGAGCTTTTATAAACAAGATGTTCTAATTTTAGAGTACTCCATTCTGAATAAAGTCTAATTAAATACACAGATATTCTCAAATGCAGTCCACAGAAAGGATAATATTCACCTCTCCTTGCTGTCATTTAATTCTATTTTATAGTGAATGATTTAATATCTACTTTTGAGTAAAAATGTTTTCTATTAAGTGGAACACTAATCTTTTATTTTAAAAAATCATTTCCAGTAAGAGACTGCCTTTGTAAAATTATTTTTAGATATTAAAAACAAGTCATAGATACTTTAAGCACACCTGGTTCAACAGCTGACCTATTTAAGATGAATATTCTTCCAACTACTTCAGGGATTGATTGGCTTAAGAACTGGTAATGGAGTCCAGAATTAAGACGTGAGGTGTACATTTTAACGCAAAGGAAAAATAACTATTAGAAAAGCTTAGGGAGAACTGAGATGAATTTTCCATTATCTGTGGTCTTTAAAACAAGACTGATTGTTTTTTCCCCCAAAAAATATGTATGTGTTTCATGACCAGGAGACTAGATAGAGGCATCACTGAGTCATATGTTACAGACTCTGCTAGACACTTGGTTAAAATTCTCATTATTCTCCCTTGTAGAGTTAAACATTTATTAATCTGAAAGCTTTCACCTCTAGAACACAACTTCCTATTTAGCTACAAGTTAAAACTAATTGAAGTAATTTTCATCAAAAGGTTTAGAGCCTTATATTTATTAGTCTAACAGCTCTGTAAATTACTGTCACAGCTTGTTTTCTTCCTGGGTATACATTTAGATTTGTACAGTGCTGACAGTATATACTTCATCAAAGTTTGAACAACCAAGGTAATACCATTGGTTGTTATTATACTGGTTGATTTAACTCACTGGGAGTTAAAACAAAATTCCATGGTTTTCTTATGCTTAACTATAGTATGAAAATACCTCGGTAGGACCAAAAAAAAAGTTAAATTTATAAGTCTTACCATTACAGATCTCAGTTTTTATGTCTTTCCATCAACAAACTTTGAGAAAGTCTAAGTCAGTGAACAAGAAATGAGGAAAATTATGCTTTCTGGTATTTAGTAAACTATATAGTGGGGCTGCACTCTACTGCTTTTCTGAAATCATCAACTATTTAAAATTAAATCTGCTTTAAGTCAAAAGTGATTAAATGTCATTTTAATCAAAAAGTTTAGTGTCCCATATATATTAGTGTAAAAGCTATAAAAATGACCATTACAGCTTGTTTTTTTTCTGCACATCAATTTAGACTCTTGTAGTGCTGACTATACTTTCTCAAATGACTTTGTGATGATAAAGAAACTGATTTTTTAATTTTTTATCATCCTAGTAGGAAATTATTATAATTATCTTAAAAGTTTCACTTGATTACCTGAAGTTATCATTTCTCATGACTTCAGAAATCACAGGTTGTTGACAAACTCAAGAATGTAGCAAACTCTTGCTCTTTGTAAACACTAAAATTGAGGAAGCTATAATATGTTAAGTTTGTACAGTCTGGGATTGAAAATGTGACTTAATGGTGTTTGTTCCAGGCAGAAAATCTTCCATAATATCTATAATATTTCTTCCTTTATCCTTTACATCAGAATTTCAGAATACATCATGTTTAGGTCAACAAAAGATGCATTTGTCATCTCACTCCCAATGAACACTGTTTATTTCAATTAACTGTGGTTTTACAAGTTATTTTACAAAAAAATATTCCGTTCCTTACCCTCCTCGGGGGAATAATCACAAAGAAAAACAGCTTGATATTTTTATTAACACATCAGTGAAATTAAGTATCAAGTGATTTCTATCTTTTCCTCTCCTTCAACTGCCTCCCCAAAACTACTCACTTTTTACAACTGTCAGATATGAGACCGTCTCTAATAACCTGACTTCATTTCCTACGTGTGTATTATTGTCCTTTGGGTCATATTCATATCTAAATGTGGAAAAGATCCTGAAAGCAGAAACCCTGTGTATAATGTCAACATAAAGTTTAAACACAAATTGAAAAAAATATATATATATATCTCCTTAGGAGCTTAAATTATAACTTTAAAAGCAATATAGATTTGAAGCACTACCTGGATATTTTGTATTCCACGAACAAGTATCCTTTTCATCATCTGCTTCATTATCTTTGAAAAGGATTGTTCCTATTACTCTCAGAGCAATAGCATAAAATTCAAGAGATAAGATTCTCTGTTTCTATGAATAAAGACAAGAGTTGGAGCTGAGGTAAGAAAGCGCCTCCCTGTGATGGGAGCCCACCTGGATCCTTATATCTTACCACAGCACATATGCTCACAGCCTTCCTATTTGTGCTGTATTCCGGTATCAGGCAATGCTTTCAGTGATGCCATGTAGCAAAGCTACAGAGTAAGTCATGATGTTTCCCAAGGATTAAGGGAAATAAACCGTGAAGAAGATAATTGGTCAAAAGAAAAACTATCCAAAGATGCAATTAAGGCACAGAAAGATCACAGAAGAAATGAAATTACACCCCAAAGGAAGAAAGAAACAGGCCAAGGATGCATGGAATGGCAAAAGGTATGCAAATGCAAGTAATGGGGGCCCACAGGAAAATGAGTACAAATGAATCTGTCTGGTCTCTTTATAGTGAAGTCAAAATTAGGCATGAGGAATAATTCAGGAAGACCACACAGTTGCTCTTCTCTATTAGTGTAAGAAAGGAAAGTGCAGAATCAACTGTCAATCAAAACACTTCTGAAACAAGCTACTTTTTAGACCACTCTAATGACAAAGGGCATTTAGCCCCAATCCACACTGGTAAAACAATACGCATTGAAAACAAAGGGATGAGGACCAGTGCTGAAAATGTTTGACGTCACAGACAAGAAGGACAGTTTCTCATGGTAAGTGCTGTGTGTTTCAACTCCAAGTACTTTAAAAACAAATTTGCCTATCATATTTTAAATTTTACAAGTTCAATTAGTGTACAATACTGTTTAATTCACAATTAGAGGATGAGCCAGCATTACTTGCCCAGGTGACATAAACTTCTGGAAATCCATGGGAATCTGCAAAATTTACAGAGCACAGAATATCTAAAATACGAGCGTGAGGCATAAACAATATAAAAAAACTCAGGAATGCACAGTGCAGTCAGACATAACTTTAGAATTCCAAAACGGAAAAACAGAAACAGAACTACAGTTTGAAAAGTACACAGTTTTGGAAGATCCCATAACAAAGTTCACCGTATTCACGTGTTTTGTAAAAGGATGCTATATTCTCCAGTTTAGATCCATCCTGCCTGCAGCTATGTTGAGAGTACAGACAGAAAGAAAAGTCAAGAGGGCTATACCATCCCGATACACTGAAAAGAGAAGAAATAGAGCTGTGGGAGCTTGGTACTGCAGCCCATTCCCCACACCCTCAAGGGAGACTGTGCTGGAAAGCACGCCGGATCCCCAGCGCACCCCTGAGATGCTGCAGTCTGCAGGATGTCACACCCTGGGACATACACAGTGCCTTTTCCAAACAGCACCAAAGCCAGCTTCATCGCATCGCTTCCATCCCCCACAGCCAGCCTGGTTTCTGCAGGCTGAACCAGCAGCCTTCTGCTCTGCTCTGCCGTGTCCCACCCTACCCCACCACATCCCAGTTAGACTTTGCCCTACCATTCTGGCCAGGGCATAATTTTTCTTCTAGTTGGTACTGTAGTGTGGTATTAGCTCTGACTCTTCTGATATATTACATCAGGGGAGTGCACACAGGGAACTGTACGACAGGACTGATGGCAGCGGGGACATTGCTGGCATTTGCTCTGCGGTTGTGAGGTTACGTAACGCTGTGATAGTCTGAAGAAGATGTCGCTCGACAACACAGCCAATGTGCTGTCAATAGCTGGACGTTACAGAACACGAGGCAAGATGAAAAATCAACAGTGTAATTCTACGCACAGGTTATGTATTTGTACGGGGCAAGAAGATAGGGTAACCTAACAACTGCAATCTTTTATCAGTTTTCATGTCAGAAAAGTTCATGGCTAAACTCCTTTTGAGCCCAACAAGACAACAATTCAGTCCTTAATTAAAAGGCAGGAATAATACAGAGTGAAGATTAAGAACATGTTTCCATATTTTTTCTTGACAGCAGCATTAGCCCAGACTACTTTATGCTTTGTTTGAATGGAGAAGCAAAATGTAATTAAAGTTTTAATTAAAATTGATCATAGTCCACAAACCTGAAATGGATAGTGCTGTTCGAACACTGTACTGGAAGAACTTTCAAGTAAACCGATGTTCTTAAATGAACTGTGTTATTTTAAAAAAAAAAAAAAAAGCATTCTGTCAAGTAAAAGGGTAGTAGTGAAAACTAATGAGGCTGAAAATGTGTCATAGAAGCAAACTACTAGCAAGCACGTATTCTGAAAGGGCCAGTGAATATGTATTTTACAGAGACTGAGCTTCCTCATGTACTTACTATTCTCTGAATGTGAGGAATCTGTTCCTTACCATATTCCAGCTAGCAAATATGTGCATCTTTTTCCTCCTCGTAAAGAGGTGATGGTAGCTCTGAGAACTGAACTTTCTAATATATGAAGGAAGAGAACACCTATCCACAGAAACACTCGCTACAAAATATTGCTAAAAATATTTTGCCAGCAGAACTGTTCAGAAAAGTACCTGTATCTCAAACACATCTGTTACATTAACATCTTCTGTACAAGAAAATGGGATTTATTCATACATTTGGTCTTTAGCTAATTGGCCAAGGCTCTGGTGTGCAAGTAATCACACTTCAATACTAATGAACAGGGCAGGTTTTTTAATCACGCTGTTATCTGCACGGTTTCTTTGTCAGCCGCGCAGCCTGGCGGTGCCGGTAACGGCCGCCCCCTCCCCCGGCCCTGCTGCGCTGTGAGGGGCGATGCGGGATTTGGGAGCGCGGCTCCCCCGGCGGTACCTGCGCAGCGGGCGGGAGCGGCGGCGGCCCCGAGGGCTCCGCACGGCCGGGCTCGGCCC